AGGTAAATCCTAATGCATCACTGATGTGTCTACCTTATCTGAAGTCTCTACATAACTCTTTTAGGCTCACAGACTTTATCACAATGCTATCCTGCAAAAATGACAGAACAATTTAATTCTATAGTAATGCAAGAAATCCTATTTTAAAAGCCATATGCACTAAATAAAACATGGCCTTGACTGAATCTACTTTTCAAAGTAATCAATCTCTTGAACTATGTTTTTTAGAATGAAAAAAAGAGAATGTCATATTTTTACCACAAAACTTTTATGGCTAAAAAGAAGGGATGGAACTACACACACAATCTATAGGACTAAAGCACAGAGTTCATAAAGTTTGACAGGTAAAGAGGCCTTAACACTTTTTTCCTTCCCCCACCAAAGTAAAATCATGTAAGGCACTCAAACCTATGCCCCCATTAGCAGTTTATGATCAAAACTTTGGAAAAGTATTGAGAATTTTATAAAAGAAAATGTTCATAAGTATTTCAAAAAAACAAACATAACTGCTACGTAAACAGATTAACATAAGCAAGGGACATCTCCCTACTGATTCTACCAAGCACTTTATGGTTTGCAATACCATCCATGAAAATTTGTACAAAGCTTTGCACATGATTCAACTCTGGACACAGAACTCACTGAGATACATTAATGTCCTAAAACACCCCTTTCACCACATAAGCTTTGAATAGGCTCAAAACAAGTACAGCCTGTGTATAACACTGTAGAATTGGAACTAGGTTTTATTGTCTCCACTGAGTTCAACCAGCCACAGAGCAACAGATGAAAGATCCAGTAAGTACACTGCACCTGCAAGACTTAGGTATGCTCCAAGTCAAATATTTGCAATTTTTTCATCCCAAATCTGCACAAATGAAAGAATGCAGATCTCAGTGCCAGACCTCTAAATCTCGTCATAAGCCAAACGATCTGTAGTTTCACTCTGATATGCCCTGTATCCTATTATTTATTGAATCCCTCATATGCCAGGAACTGTGCTAGGAGCTTGCATACATTATCTGTAATCCTAACAAATCCCATTATGCTGATGAAGAAACTGAGGCCAAAGAGGTGAAGGTAACTTGCTCAAAGCCACAAAGCCAGTAAATGGCAAAGCTGGGGTTTAAACCTAGTTCTGCCTGGCTCCAAGAACTAGTTCCCTGATACTTCTCTAGCAAATTACTAACTGCAACATCAGTTCACCTCTATCAAAGTGAATTCAAGTGCTAATTATATGAAACAAGAGCTGAGAAAAATATCATACCTAAAATGGTAGCACAAGACTCAAGAGTTCCCAATGAGAAGATGCAATTACCTCCTTTAGAATAACTAATTCAAAGGCTATGGTTCAAAATACAAGACAATCCACTTTTATTTATCTTTTTGGTTGTCTCTCAACTGACTTTTTAGAACAAGGGAAATGAAACTAGAGACTATATGCATAATTTGGGTAAAATTATCTAAAAGCCTTGAGAAAAGAGGTGACTTCTTTTGTTAACATTTCATGTTATAGTTTACTTCTTCAGCAGTCTTCAGACTTTCAAAAACGAAATCACATCAGTGGCATTACTATCAACTTTTTTTCTACGAACTTTTAAAGTATTTTCTTACCACACTACAAGATTACTTCCCATACTTAGAGCAGAAATGGAAACAGCTCTGGGTGTCACGAATCAGATCTTGAGGCCGCAGTTGCAGAAAGTAGGTGCTGTTTCCCTTGAGTAGGAGCTGCTGATCTGAAATCTCCTAAGGGAAGGGTGTCTGAGGAAGAGTGTTGAAGAAACTAAAGCAAGCTGTTTGTATTAATGAGAGTGAGCTGCTGGCCCCACTACTCCTTAAGTGTTTCACTGCTATGCAATTGTTTTCCAGCTTCCAAGTTTGAATCTGGCAGGGAGAGAATACTGTTCTCACAGCCATATGTGTTATATGATCAGCTTCTCTATGGTGTGTGAGTGTTTAACTAGGTAAATGGCTGGTTAGAAGAGGTTCTGCAATACTAAACCAAGGAAACAAACTGTCCCCTGAGATTTTAATGGTCTGTCATTATACTATGTTAACAAAGAAAAGTAACATACAGTATTTTCAACTTTGAAATGGTTTAGGATAGACAAATAATTTCCCATAGTAAAACTTCAACTATAACATGAACAAAAAAATAAAACCTGTAGTATAAGCCACTTTAAGAATGTTTATTAGCTAATAAAATTGCAATATTTGCAGCCTCAGTATGCTTTCAAACTTCATAGGGCACACTGTGTAATTATTAGAATAAATACTATTTTTCAGGTTCTACACTGTTCCTCCTTTCAAACTGCCGATTGATACCATAAATTCCTTAGCCTCTCAGAACCCCAAATGCAAAGTCTTTAAAAGTCTCAACGGATCCTTTAAGTGAAAAATATTATCAGAATCCTAAGCTCCTAGAGAGCTGGGAACTGTGCTTACTTAATGTCAATGCCTATCACAACATTATCATAAACTAGAATAACTGTCTCTTGATTAAAATATGTATGATCAAAAGGCAAAAGATGGGTGAAAAGTAATTTAAACGAAAATAGATATTTGCTACTTGTTTACTGGCAGAACAGTGCAAACTGCATCCTTATTTCTAGATTCTGTGAAGACTGAATTCCCTAACTATAATTAAAATCTCTCCATTAAAACAAAAATTTTAAATCGATGCTTTTTTTTTTTTTGAGACAGAGCCTCAAGCTGTCCCCCTGGGCAGAGTGCCATGGCATTATAGCTCACAGCAACCTCCAACTCCTGGGCTCAAGCGAGTCTCCTGCCTCCGCCTCCCAAGTAGCTGGGACCACAGGCGCCCGCCACAACGCCCGGCCATTTTTTGGTTGCAGCCATCATCGTTGTTTGGCGGGTCCGGGCTGGGGATTCGAACCCGACAGCTCAGGTGTACGTGGCTGGCGCCTTAGCCGGTTGAGCCACAGGCGCCGAGCCAAATCGATGCTTTTGATAGCACCATTACCATTAGGAAAGATAGGAAATTATAGTTAATAATGTTTTAAAAACCTTTTTCATGGAGCAGGAACATCACTATGGGAATTATAGTCTTAAGAGATCACATCAACTTCAACCAACACATAGAGATTCTGTACAGGCATAAAATAGATCTCAGACTTTGCTGTTGAAATTCGCTACATTTAGAATACAGTGACAGGAAGATACATTATCAATTGGTCAAATTTAAACAAGTTATTTTGACTTTAGTTTTAATTTTTTCTGAAAGATACATCTCCTTTTCACAAGTCAGGGAAACTGATACTTTACAAATATTTAACTCACTCTAATAAACAATACACAGGGTTACATACAGAAACTATTTTGCTGTTTATTGCTCAGGGCCAAAGTAACTCTAACCCTTAAGGAAAAAAAGAAACTGAAGTTCCTTTCACTTTTGCATAATACAGATCTTAACCTGAAGTCCTGCACCCAGCTTCAAGTTGTCTCTAGTTGCATGCAAAATGTGCCTACTGCACTAAGAGGGCTCCAATGGCTTTCATAACCCCAAAGAAAGGTTAGGAACCACTGAAGTAGGCATTTCCAAGATCACTAAAACTTAGTGCCCAACACTGTAAACAAAATTATTCTAAAGATAGTGTATATCTGAACACATGCGCGCAGGAGTAATATAAAGAACCAAGCTGCCTGCCAGCACTGACAATCACAGTGCCATGCACGACTCACAAAACAGCCCCACTCCAGAACATCACCTGAATTCAGCTCAGACACCACACATTCCAGCAACAGCAGCTCTTCATTCCCTAAGCACTCACATGTTGTCAACAAAGCATGTGCTAGTTGCCATTCCCAGAACAATACTAGCCTGGCTATCCTCTGGAAAAAAAATACACATTCTTCCTCAAATACTATTTATATATTATGCCTTGATCATAGATGTTAAACATTCCCACATTCCCACACAACATACCTATCTAATTAACTGGGAAAAAAGCACCACTCAGGTGTTACTGAGTGTCTACAGGAAATGTACATAAGTGAAAGACTATGATAATGATGCATTAACACAGGGACAATCAAAGGCAGATTCACGCACGAACATCCTGAGAACAGGGTTGTGAAAAGCACCCTTCTCCAAAGGCAAAAACACGTTCCTTTGATTGGCACAAGCCATTTCTGACAATGGCTCCTCGGTGACAGGGACTGCACAGCAATCAGGAAGTGTGTGTGGGGAGGGGGGGGAGAGCACACACTAGATGTGATCAAAGCTGGACCTCTTCAAAAAACAGCATATGGGATCTTAAATTCTTAAGACAGACTTCGAGGTGAGGCAGGGGCATTTATCATTTCTACAGGAAACATTTCTCGACAATGAACGTGTTATGTGGAGATGTAACGGGGAGGGGGGGGTGTACCTTTGGTGTCTCCGACCTAAGAATCTTCAGCAGAGCCTGATTGGAGGGGAGGAGGAGGTGGGGGTGGAGAAAGGTCTGCATTACCCACTGGGGTGAGCGTGGGGCTGCTGGTGGCGGGTGTACATCAGATGCGTTTTATCTCCTGGCGGCACAATACTCCCGGGGGTTGGAGGTTTGGGCGCAACCGCAGGGCGGGGGAGGCAATGGGTGCAAGCCACCAGCTGCAGGGCAGGAGAACGCTCGCAGGAGGACCAATGCAAACCTCCCCTCAGCCCGCTAATCGTGCCACCCCAATCTCCCCTCGGGCCTCAGGGCGAGAGGACTTGCTGCAAAACTACAGCCAAGCCCGAGTCCGGGACGGAGGGAGCGAAAGGGCAGGAGCCGGGTGCCCCCAGCCCAAACTGGGTGCCAGATGAGCGCTGCGCCCCGGGCCTCTCCGCCAGATGGGGGCTGCTCCGGCCTAGTGCACGCAGCTGCCTCGGCGAAGGGTTAAGCCGGCCCCCAGAGCCCGGGCCGGCCCGGCGGGCGGCGCAGAGGAAGGACTGCTGCTGCCAGGGGCGCCGCCGCTACGGTGGCGTGTGCGTGGGGGAAGGGGCCCCTACTCACCCGGGCCGGCCGCCTCCGCCTCCGCCGCCTCGACCGCAGCCTCGGCGGTCCATCCCTGCGGCGGGGGGCCTGT